GGTGTTTTTTGGGTGTTTTTTGGGTCGATTTTAATTGATTTTTGGGCTGATTTTGGGATGATTATTGGCTGATTTTGGGTGATTTTTGGGCTGATTTTTGGGCCGATTTTGGGTGTTTTTTGGGTCGATTTTAGGTGATTTTTTCAAGTGATTTCTGGGTGAATTCTGGGCTGATTTTTTGGCTGATTTTGGGTGAATTTCAGGTAATTTTTGGGTGAATTTTGGGCTGATTTTTGGGCCAATTCTGGGTCGATTTCAGATAATTTTTGGGTGAATTTTGGGTGTTTTTTGGGTGATTTTTGGGCTGATTTTGGGGTGATTTTTGGGCTGATTTTTGGGTCGATTTCAGGTAATTTTGGGTGTTTTTTGGGTCGATTTTAATTGATTTTTTGGGTCGATTTTTGGGTGAATTTCAGGTGATTTTTGGGTTGATTTTGGGTGTTTTTTGGGCCGATTTTAATTGATTTTTGGCTGATTTTTGGGCCGATTTTAGGTAATTTTTGGGTGTTTTTTGGGTGATTTTTGGGTCGATTTTAGGTGATTTTGGGGCCGATTTCGGGTGTTTTTTGGGGGTCTTTCGGGTTATTTTTGGGTGTTTTTGGGGAGTTTTTTGGGTCGATTTCAGGTAATTTTTGGGTGTTTTTTGGGCCGATTTTTGAGTGATTTTTGGCTGATTTTTGGGCCGATTTCGGGTGTTTTTTGGGTGTTTTTTGGGCTGATTTTTGGGTCGATTTCAGGTAATTTTTGGGTGTTTTTTGGGTGAATTTTGGGTATTTTTTGGGTGTTTTTTGGGTGAATTTTGGGTGAATTTTGGGCCGATTTTGGGTGTTTTCTGGGTGTTTTTTGGGTGAATTTTGGGGTAGTTTTTGGGTGTTTTTTGGGTGAATTTTGGGTGTTTTTTGGGTGAATTTTGGGTGTTTTCTGGGTGTTTTTGGGTCCATTCTGTCCCCACTCACCGCAGCTGACCGGCACCAGGCGGGGGGGGACGTAACGCCGCCCCCCCCCCAGTCCCGGGGCTTTGGCTCCGCCCCCTTGGCCTTCGTCACTTCCTCCTCCATCATCATCATCATCATCGGCATCCTGGGGGGGGGACACGCCCACCCTTAAACCACGCCCATTCTACCCCTTAAACCACGCCCCCGAATCCTTTAAGCCACGCCCATTTCCCAGTTAAGCCCCGCCCATTTAGCCCCTTAAACCCATGCTCAGAAATCTTTAAGCCACGCCCACTTAACCAGAAAACCACGCCCCCAACTGCGCTAACCCACGCCCATTTAGCCCTTTAAGCCACGCCCCCGAACACTCTAAGCCACGCCCACTCTCCCCTTAAATCCCGCCCATTTAACCCCTTAAGCCCCGCCCCGAAACCCGCTAAACCACGCCCCCCCAAAATCCTTCAAGCCACGCCCATTTGACCCCTTAAACCCCGCCCCAGCATCCTTTAAACCCCGCCCATTCCTCCACGTAAGCCACGCCCATCCAAACCATTAAACCCCGCCCACTTATCATAGCAAACCACGCCCCTTTAACCCCTTAATCCCCGGCCATTCCCCCTTAGGCCCCGCCCATTTAACCCCTTATACCCAACCCAGTTATCGGCTCAAGCCACGCCCATTATTCCTCAAGCCACGCCCACTCATCCCATTAAACCCCGCCCATTTACCCCTCCCACTCCCCTTAAGCCACGCCCATTTATCCCCGTAAGCCACGCCCACTCAACCCCTAAGCCCCGCCCACTCACCCACCTAAACCCACTTAAGACCTCAAACCCCGCCCATTCTTAATCAAGCCCCGCCCATTTATCCACCAAGCCCCGCCCCTTTATCCTTTTAAGGCCCGCCCCCCCCACCTGCGCCGCCATGTTGGAAGGGGCGGGCCGGAAGCTCATTGGATCCTCGGCACCTGTCAATCAAACGGGGGAGGAGCTTAGAATGATCGACAGCTGCCAATCACCCGCTTGGGGGGCGTGGTTTAGCATAAAAAGGGGCGGGGCCTGCACTGACCACGCCCCCCCAGGGCCGCCGCCCTCAGGAGCTTCTCCAGGTGGTGCCGGAGCCGCTGCTCCAGGGGGCGGAGCTTCTCCAGAACCTGCAATTAGCGGCTCATTAGGGCTAATTAGGGCCTAATTAAGGTTAATTAGAGGTTAATTAGGGGTTAATTAGGGGTTAATTAGGGTTAATTAGCGGGTAATGAGGGCGGGGATTAATGAAGGGAGGGATGGAATCGAAATTAATCAGAAATTAACAGCGAATTAATCAGGAATTAATCAGATATTAATGAGATATTAATTAGAAATTAATCAGAAATTATTCAGAAATGAAGGCAAAGGGAAGCCAAAATTATTCACAAATTAATCAGAAATTAATCGCAAATTAATCCAAAATTAGTCACTAATTAGCCTGAAATTGATCAGCAATTAAAGCAAAGTTAATCACGAATTAATCGGAAATTAATAAAATATTAA